GCCGCTCGGTGGTCCATGTCCCACCGTGACCTTGGTCCCTTCTGCAGCCCCATCGTCTCCAAAAAGGGGTACTTGCACTTCCTGGAGCCTCACACCAACGGGTGGGTGAAGCGCTTCGTGGTGGTCCGGCGCCCATACGTCTACATCTACAACTCGGACAAGGACACGGTTGAAAGGGCCATACTAAACCTCTCCAAGGCCCAGGTGGAGTACAGCGAGGACCAGCAGGCCATGCTCAAGGTAGGGCGTCAGGAGCCAGCCCTGCTCTGCGCACCCCCTCGGGTGAGGGACTCAGCCCTGGCTCTCCCCTGGCAGACCCCAAACACGTTTGCGGTGTGCACGGAGCACCGGGGCATCCTGCTGCAGGCAAGCAGCGACAAGGACATGCACGACTGGCTCTACGCCTTCAACCCCCTCCTGGCTGGGTCCATAAGGTACCGGGGCAGCTGGGGGATGGGGGATGCAGGGAAGCCGTCAGTGGGAGGTCTGCGGGCAGCCAAGCATGCTCCCTGCCCTGCTCCAGTGCTCTCCCTGCTGCAGTCCCTCCTGGTCAGGTGTGGGGAGCGTCTCCTGCACAGAGCTGTGCTTGGATGGGCTCTCAGCCAGAAAAACTTGGACTGTATTAATCTTAATTTCAGCTCCTGCCCCCTTGAATGCTTCAATCTAGGGCCAGATCCTGGCTGGTACAGAGGTGTTGTTGTGCTGAGTTCAAAGCAACATCCATGCCTGGTGGCAGGGACACTGGCCCTTCACTGTTCTTGAGAGCATCTCATGAAGTTCTTCAGAGCGTCTCACGCAGTTCTGAGACCTTCTCACAAAGTTCTTGAGACCATCTCAAGTGGCAGGACTAGGGCAACAGGAGTAAATGCACAGAAATTTGTGTGCTCTGGCTAAAAAGACATTAATCCCATGTCCCTCCAGCTCTGGCTGGATTCAGGCACCAGCCTACCTACCAGGATACCGAACCCGGGGGACCACATCTCTCCTTGTCCACGTCTGACGCTTTGTCCTATGTTTTCCAAATCAGATCCAAGCTGTCCAGAAGGAGAACAGCCCAGATGAGAATCTAACCTGAAAAACACCCTCCACCTCATCCATCTGCTAACGGGATCAAGGTAGCTGATTCTGTCTCAAGACTCCCCATGTTAACGTCTGATCTCTCACACCATCTGCTGCCCCAGCTGTTTGCTCCATGGAAGGATCTGTCTCGATTCACACCTTCACGGGGGAAACACTTCTGTTCGTAGCTGCAAAAGCCTGGACCCGCCTGGGCAGGATTTCTCATGTGTGTGCCATCTTCTGCCCGTCCCCCCATGAGTGACCTTCATGTCACACCATCTGTAATGCTCCAGAAAGGTCCCTGTCGGAGGGGAGGGAGCAAGGAGGGTGGTTTTGGCTAAAAGCTGGTCTTTGATCTACAGAGGTGGGAGTGTGGTAAAGCTCAGAGGTGGGAGAGCAGGAGGAATTGCCTCCACGTGAAGGGAAAGTGGTAGTTTAGGAATGGGGATTTCCTAGTTTGTTGATGTTTCTGCAAGAGATGGCAGGGTAAGATCAGGTGTTGGTAGTTTAAGATGATATTTATAAAGTATTTATTTGTATTTACGTTACAAAAATCCTGTAAGTTGGGTCCTGGCCCCTGGACAATGCCTCCCCCAGGCAGGGGAGAGCCTTGGCAGTGGGCCGGGGTCCCGGAGATGCCTTCCCCGGGACATCCCTGGCGTGTGCCCGGCGGTGGCAGCGGCGCTCTCGCCCTTGCTCCCCGCCCTTCCCCAACCCTCTGCTTTGCCTCCCCTGCAGCTTAAACTACTTCTCCCCTGAGCGGTGGCTGGCCAGCCCACCACGTCTTCCCAAAGGAGGCAATTCCTACCCGCCCCATCTACCTCTGGAAGGGGGGAGCCTGCCGTCTCGGCTGGCCGGGGCACCCACATCCACATGGATGGGTCACCTCGCTTCGGAACTTGGTCCTGCTGGAGGGAAAAGGAGGGCTCTGGAGACGGCTCTGCCTGTCATCTCTTGGGGGTCTGTCCTTCCCAACCAAAAGCACATGGGCCACCTCGACTATCCCGGCCTGAGAACCCTAGGGGGCTTGTCCAAAGGGATTTCCCCCCCTCTTAGGGCAGGATGCCAAGGGTCCCATCACTGCAGGGAGTGTGGAGGTTCAGCTGGTTGCTTCTGAAGCTGGATGGGAAAGTTCCCCAGGAACCAGGGCTAGGAATGGCCATCCCAGTCCACAGGATCCTTGTCGCCCTTTCCCAGAAGGGCTGTCACATCCCTTCTCCTCCCAGCAGGACGACAGGTTCGAAGCAAGTCAGAGGGGCAGGGGAGAGGCTGGCGTGAGGGTGTCAGGGTGGGGATGGGGCTTCTTTTTACGGTTGTAGCTGGCATTTTCTCACTCCTCTTCCCTTGCTGCAGAAGCGAATGACCACCTCCTTCCCACCCTGCCTCTGTCAGCATATGAATCCAGGGGGCCTCCC